TAAAAATTCATTCTTGAACATTGTTACACTTCATAGCACTTTGTTGAAATGTTTGTAAACGAAAGATTTTCAGCTTTACGAGAAAGCATTTAGAAATTGACTGGTGATCAAAGGATATAATACTTTAAAACGATGTAACAACTGAAGTTAAGGATTGTTAAATGTGCATCTAAATATGTTGAATAATATGTAGATTTTGAAGTGATTGTTTGTTATTTGTTCTAGCTGCTACATGTCCACAATTTGCTCAACGTGAGTTTAGTTTTACACTTGAAAATGATGTTTATCGTCGTTATCTTTCATTTTCAAATCATATTGAATTTGAAAAAGAATTAATAAAAATGTGTCCTGAAAAAATTGATAAAGGTGCTGTTTATTCAGCTAAAGTTATTTATTTATTTTTCTTAAAATAAATTATAATTTAACCAAAAGATCATAAAATATTATCTGCTGCACAATTTTATCCAATTAAACATGAACTTGTATTTGATATTGATATGACAGATTATGATCATGTCCGATTTTGTTGTCGGTAAAGAATTTATTTAATTATAGTAAATATAAAAAAGAAACTTTATTTAAAGTGGTGCTCATATTTGTTGAAAATGTTGGATATTAATGAGATTTCCAATGGAAATTATTGATCGTGTATTACATCGTTTGTTTAGAAAAATAAATGAATTTTAAAAATAAGATAATTATTTTAAAGAGTATTTTGGATTTGAACATCGTTTATGGATATATTCTGGTCGACGTCGTGTTCATTGTTGGGTTTGTGATCAAACAGCTAGAGAACTACAATCAAGTATTCGACAAGTTATTGTTGAACATTTAACTGCTATTACAGTATGATTATATAAAAATATTATTTTGTCTTATCTTTAGAATGGAAAAGATTCAACAAAACGTGTGACACTTTATTCTCCATTACATCCATCACTTCAGTAAATAAATAAAATTATTTTTATTGAAATTGTATTGAAAAATTTAGGCGAGCACGGGAAATAGTTTTAAGTGAATTTGGTGGATATGCTTGTTTAGAACAAGATTTTCTTATAGATGATCAACGAATTGAACGATTTATTCGACTTGTTCCTGATGATAATATCCTTTTTGAATAGTTTATATCGAATATTTCATATGTTACAAATCTGTAGTATCTGATATACTTGGGATTGGTGACTTATGAAACATTTTCGAAACTATTTTTTTATTTAAACTTTTCATTTCCTTGACTATAAATCTAAACGTCGTCAAACATTACGTGAAGCATTTACTGAATTGTCGACATCCGCCGAACGATGGGCTGCATTTAAACAACATACTAATACAATGATTAATTCACCAATATCAACAACTAAAGTATATTTAGTTTTTCGATCTGAAACTCTTAGAATTTTATTTTGGATAAAATAGTATCGTAAAGCAGCATAAGTGACATTAATTGATAAAATAATGTTTGAATATTGTTATCCACGTCTTGATGCAAATGTAACAAAAGGAATGAATCATTTACTTAAATCTCCATTTACTGTTCATCCAAAAACAGATCGTATATCAATACCAATTAATTTAAATTCATTAACATATTTTGGTCCATGTAAAAAAGGTTTAGTACACAAATTAAATGATTTATGTCAACAAGTTGAACAATTACCTAAACAAAATCAACAAAATGATGATGAAAAGACAATTACTAAACACAAAGATCTTGTTTTTTTAATTAAATAAAATAAAAAAATAAAAATTTCTTTTGTATTTAATAGATTATAATCAAACATCTCTTAAACCATTTGTTGATGTATTTGCTCGTTTTGTTCAAGGTTTACAAACGAGTAAACAAGATAAAGTATTAGCTAAAAGTGGTCAGTTATTTTTATTATTATATGTTGTACATCATGACCTGTTTATTTTAGATCTTAATACAATGTTATCAGGTGAAATTTAATCAAATTATACAAATGTCAGGTGTTTATTAAATAGATGTATTCATTAATTGTCAGATATATTTACGACTTTATTGTCTATTTTTGTTATTATAATTAGATATTAAAAATAAAATATAGTTCTATAGAATATTGATATTAGAAATTTAGTGCAAAATCTTATTCTTTTATCTAGATGAAATATAGATGAATGATATAGAGTAGATGTTTGTTGTTTTGTTCGATGTAGTGAGATAAAATGAATTTCTTGATCTTTCTATCAGCATACAATCGAAGCATGCAATATAGTAATGGTTCGATAGATGAAAAAATAAAAATATTTCGACTACAAAATGATGACGATATACAATACATTTATTTCAATCAAAAGGTAACCGAAGTACATTTCTAGTGTTTTATATTGATGTGCTACGGTGTAAGTATCGCTATTCTCAAAGTTGATGCTCATCATTGGTTCTAAACATTTGAAATTTTTTCATTTTTTTTTTTATTAAAATTAACAGCGATAAAGTTTACCTATACGACGTATTTCAGCCATATTATCATGATGATTGAAGAGTCGGATCCAATTGGATTTTTGTGAAGATTTCTCTTGAACCGACAAAATCCCGTTGAAATCCAGGTTATGGAACCATAGTCGGATCCTAGTGTTGGGATCCAGCTGAATCCATCTGTGATCCCGTAACCCGAGATCCCACAGGATTTAGTCAGTTGGTCAGATCCAATAAGATCCGATAATCAGATGTTTATTAAATATATTTCTTCATTAGATTATCTCAACAAATATCTTTCGACTGTTTTTACGTGAAAAAAAATCTGAATTATACTGGAAGAGTCATTTTAATTAGTAATCAAAGTCTATGTGACCTATCATTAATAAGGAAGAAAATGGAATTTTTCTTTGAAATACTAAAACTTTGGCGCATCCTTTAAGTTATAAAGGGCTTCATGAATGCTGTGCTCTCTCCACCGCATTCAAAACATGTAGTCTCAGTAGTATTATATTACTAGGTTAGCACGAAATTTTTTGCGTTCTTTTAAAAAGTTTCCTAGAACAGTAGAGAAAGTTCTAGAAGTTTCCATACTAAGTGTATATGAAGGGGGTACGAATATCTTTCGAAGAACAACAAAACTATGGATATGGATGTTGATCTTGAATTAGAAATAAAGATATCTCGTAGAGAGCTCCGACTACTTCTGCTTCATGAATTCCGTTTGGGTCGCAAAGCAACGGAAGCAACAAGCAACATATGCAGCACAATGGGCAAGGATGCACTCTCCATCCGTACAGCGCAACATTAGTTCAATCGGTTCAAGAACGGTAACTTCGAACTCGACGATTTACCTTATTCCGGAAGACCACTAGAGGTGGATATGGATGTCTTAAAGAAGCTTGTGGAAGAAGATCCAAGATTGACTACACGGTGTTTAGCAGAGCGACTTGGGTGCTCTCATACTACAGTGGAAAGACATCTGAGCGAATTAGGCAAAACGTGGAAATATGTAGTTTAGATACTACATGAATTGTCACCACATCAGCTCCAACACAGGGTTGACGCTTGTATAGAATTAATGACATCTCATCGCAACTACCAATGGCTCCACAATCTTATTACTGGCGATGAAAAGTGGATGATGTATGTTAACCACACGCGCAAGCAACAGTGGCTGGAAGATGGATAAACAGGTGTAGCAACGCCCAAAACTGGCTTTCACCCAAAGAAGATTATGCTGAGTGTTCGGTGGGGAGTAACATGGATTATTCATTAGGAACTTCTTCCAACTGGCTGCACCATCACTGCTAATCTCTGTTGTCAACAATTGGACAGAGTTGGAGCAAAACTCAAGGAAAAGCAGGATAGAATTTATTTTTTGCATGACAACGCCAGACCTCACATTGCAAAGTCGACGTGTGAAAAATTATTGGAGCTCGGATGGGTTACGGTTCCACATCCACCTTATTCTCCAGACTTGGCTCCTACAGGTTACCACTTGTACCGTTCACTGTCTAACTATCTACGCGAGAAAAAATTCGACGACGAGAACAATCTCAAAATGGATCTTGTCAACTTCTTCGGCCAAAACTTCCAGGACTTCTACAAACGCGGGATCTTTTCTCTACCAGAGCATTGGCGACAAGTCGTAGATAGTAATGGAGCATATATTGTTGAAAGTTAGTTGTAATCTTGAAGTTAAAAAATGCGGAAACTTCGGATTTAAATCCGAGAGTTATGTGTACTGAAGAAAAGTGAATTAGACAGATGAGTCATTCTAGAATGTGCGAATATCAAAATTATACTCAGAAACCTTTCCTATAAACTGTTTATTTCTGTTGACTATTGATCCATCAATAGGGCTTGGAGGCGAATAGAGCTCAAATTTCAACTCTTCGCCTTGATTTACCCTAAGAAAGTCGTGTTTCCTATAAGTTGATTTCTATTGGTCACTGCTCAACCAATAGTATTTCGAGGCAAGTGGAATACAGATTCGAGTTCTCCGCCCCAGAAAACCTCAAAGTATCAACTCTATGATCGGAAGATAGAGCTCGAATTGTGAGTCAATTAGATGGTGGACAAAAACGGAACCTATTCCCGTTTAATTATCTTTGTAATAGGTGAGTTAGCCTTCTCGTTCCTTTATGTTTTATATACC